TATTTTAATTGTTAAATATTCAGCATTTGCAAAAGGGGCAGATTTTTAATTCTGTATATTAACACGCTGTGTGCGACCAGACAGGTATGCTATTATTCTTTTTAAAGGACACATAGTTTACCCCTTTTTTATGATTTAACATTATTATAATGGTTCTTCTGAGTGTGCAAGTTTAGGTTCAGTTCAACTCGCAGTTTAGATGTTTTTATTTTAATGGTTAAAAAGTGTCATGTTGGGGGCGTTTACACAGTTTGCTATTTTTGGGGCGTGTTGCTTCACAGTTTCGGCTTCCCGCCCAACGTAACAAGGGGGCGGAGCCAAGAGCTCCCACGCTCTGTGTTTGCAACAGACACGCTGACAGACAGAGAAAGAGAAGCTAAGCTAAGCTAGGATGAGCATTCAGCAGTACATGTATAAGTCGGACACAGACCAAGCAGAAAGTACTAAATCATTTGTGCCTTTGTACAGTCTCTCAGAGACTAATAACCACACACACTGAATTAACTTTGACTGAGGCACCGAATGCGCCGTGACACGGCACACCAGACACACTCAGTGACGCGGCAGAAACATGAAGTGTCCCCAATCGTAGAAGAGCACCCCGACAGAAACTCAAGCTATGCCGAGTCGCTGACCCGAAGCTTCGCAGCGTGCACCCCGACAGAAACCCACGCCCAGAACTCCGAAATGCACGGCGCCGTGCCACGCAAAAGGTACAAGCAATAATTCCTATTGCAGCGATAATGTGGAAAATATTGATCTTGTGTTGAGCCCAATGAGCTTTTCATCAAAAAATAGAGCAAGGGTGTTCCTTATATAGGGCTGGGCGATAATTCGATATCGATAATTGTCACAATAAATAATTTTTTAATAAAATGATAATGACAGTTTGATAATTGCTCGATAATATTTACACACTATTGCGTAACGCTGCGCAGGCATTTTGCAGCCTGCCCTTCCGGATGTCGCACACAGTATACAAGTTTACAGTCATACAGTGTTAGTTGCACTTGAAGGAGTAAGAAAAAAAATAAGGTAAAAAACGTCAGAGTCATAGACATAGCTGACAAGAAACGTCACTAGACTTCAGTAGTCTGGAGCTACTTCGTTTTTTGCAATCCGACAAAAAATATATACTAGAGGTCTATATTAGAGCAGAAGATCTTTGCCCGAACCCGGCAGGACCCGAAAAATACCAAATCCCTGCAAAGGTGAAACAAATGATGAACTTCCAAGTGGCATATAGTCTAAGTTTGTTACGAATAAATTATGTTAAAACATATAAATGACTGGCATTAAAATGCAATAGAGCTGTGTGCATGAGCACATTTGTATAATGTCGGGCTGTAAACAGGTTCAAGCTTTAAAAAGCTGTCAATCAAAATGTACCTGTCTGTCTCTGGCCCCATCGGGTATAATTTTTATGGCCCAATTACAGCTCTCTGCATTCCCGCTGCTGTACTGCGTGAGCCGGCCAGATTTCTTACAGTTTAGGAGTAAATTTCTGAATAAATCGCAGGAGGTGTGTGTGTGTGTGTGTGTGTGTGTGTGTGTATGTGTGTGTGTGTGTGAGTGTGAGTGTGAGTGTGTGTGTGAGTGAGAGAGAGAGAGAGCGGTGCTGTACGTGACCGTAAACAGGTGACCGCGAGCCTAAGGTCGCATATAAGGTATTCAGTTTCTGAATGGTTTAGGCTCAAGCCAACAGTTTGGTGACGCTGTCTGAGCCACAGTCATAATTTTTTTATAACGCACGGTAATACCGAATACCGGGGTAAAATAGGGAGGAGGTTTGACAGTATAAAAATTTGGATACCGCCCAAGCCTACTACCTAGCAGTCTCATAATTTTCGAAACCGTGCCTTACGAGAAAAAAAAAAACTCAAAGACAGACGAAAGATATGACAGACAACACAGTCTCAAACACAACTCAATGAACACTTGATGCTTGCTGTAAACTACGGGCTGCATTGTTTAAGGGTATTTGTTACGACATTAATATGATCTTTTGTTGACAAGCTTATGTTTCCTCTTTAATATTATGATATTTTCTTTGACATCTGTAATACCACTATTGTCCCTCACCGACGGTAAAACAACCAGCCTTTGTATATTTGAAGGACATAAGGAGAAATCAGATGCTCAAGACATAATCTTTAAAATAATGACATATTAAAAATGGATCAAATATATGACAGACATTGACAACAACAGTGGATCATTAAATCCTTTTTTCCCCCTGGAGCGAAGCATCATCCACCTGCAGTTGTTTAAGGCAGGCACGATCTAAAAAAAAAAAATATATATATATATATATATATATATATATATATATATATATATATATATATATATATATATATATATATATATATATATATAATGTGTAACTTAATTTTATATATATATTTTGTTAGTCAGTTATCTACAGCATAAACATCAAGAACTAAACAACATCTGAGGTGAAGCGCTTTAAAGCAAGTCCGCTATAGGTAATATGCTTTAGCGCCAAAACAGTCCATCAAACTATTTTCACTGTTTCATTTTAATTCATTAACTAAGCGCAGTCTGACCAGCATGAGCTGGATAGTCTTTTCGCAGCACTGATAGATTTCTTGGGTTACCTCGGAAGAATAAACTCAAATGAGAGTTCAGAAGGTCGTTGTGTAGAGAGGCTCCCGCCTGTTTTCGTTGTGATGATTTGTAAAATGAGAGTCTGCATAGGCCTATTCATGCTAGTCTGTCAGACAAATTTGGTTAAAACATCTGTGGATATTACTGTGATCTGCGCATTACAGAGTTTATGCGACCCGCAATATGCGATGTCAAGAGGGTGACAGCATAAGTAAGGTAAACTGCACACACTTGATAATGCAATGCGTGGACGCGTCTCACAGCGTAAAGCATAACTAAACCTTTACATGCTTAATCATTCATCGATAAAGTCTATTGATTAAAGGGTTATTGACAAACAATAGATCAAATAATCATTAGCATCCCTAAATAAAATATATTAAATCGTATTTCACCCTAAAATACACAATACTCACCATACTCACCATTAAAGGAGAGTTCATCCAAAACTGAAAATGCTGTGACCTTTAACTCACCTTTTACTTTGTACCAAACCGGGTTTATTTTTTTTTTTCTGGTACAATAATGTCCAATAACTTGTTGGTAATGTCTTTGGTTGTTGAAAACTTGAACAGTAAATGCTGAATTAAGATTGTTCTTTTGTTTATTATTTATATTGTCAGACAGCTAAACATATCAGTAAATGTGTTAAATTAGCTGCACAAAGCGATTGGTAGGCTGAAAATCAAATCAAATTGATAGATATAAAGATTTTACGTTTAATGTGATAAATATCGATATCAACTGATATGAAAAAAGATTATCGTGATAATTTTTTTGCCATATCGCCCAGCTCTAATTTACAGTATCAAAGGCCTTCCTGAAATCAAGAAACACAGCCCCAACGACACCTGTCAGCCAAGCTGTCAGGACTAAAACAGGCAGAAGGAGAGACCTCTGTAATCCAGTCAGGAGCCAAAAAGGCAACAGCGGGAGAGTCCTCAGTACAGCTGTCGGGACTTAAACTTGCAGAATCAAGAGAGTCCTCAGTACAGCTGTCGGGACTCAAACTGGCAGAATCAAGAGAGTCCTCAGTACCGCAGTCGGAACTCAAACTGTCAGCAGCAGGAGAATCCTCAGTACAGCAGTGGAGACTCAGACACGCAGCAGAAAAGTCCTCAGTACAACTGTCGGGACTCAAACTTCAGAATCAAGAGAGTCCTCAGTACAGCAGTCGGGACTCAAACTGGCAGCAGCAGGAGAATCCTCAGTACAGCAGTCGGGACTCAAACTGTCAGCAGCAGGAGAGTCTTCAGTACAGAAGTCGAGACTAAGACACACAACAGGAGAGTCTTCAGTACAGCAGTCGAGACTCAGACACACATCAGGAGAGTCCTCAGTACAGCAGTTGAGACTCAGACAAACAGCAGGAAAGTCCTCAGTACAACAGTCGGGACTCAAACAGGCAGCACCTGGAGAGACCTCTATATTCCTGTCATGAGCCAAACAGGTAGCAGCCATGAAGACCTCAGTACTCCAGTCAGGAGCCGTAACAGCAACACCAGAAAAGACCTCCGTAGAGCAGTTGGGAGTAAAACAGGCAGCAGGAGAGACCTCCGTACTGCTGTCAGGACTCAAACAGGCAGCTGTAAGAGACAGGGCAGCAATGTTGTCAGGAGCCAAACAGGCAGCAGGAGAGACCTCAGAACTGTAGTCAGGCGAGGCCTTGTTGTATTTTTTGCCACCTCTTAGATGGGAAAAGGTCCCCCTCCAAAATTTTCTTTTCTTTTTAGATGAATGCTCCTTTCCTCTTCCTTTTTGACTATCCACATCTCTCTCTAGATGTAAATTGTTTTCCACTTTGTTTGTGGAAGATTGTGGTGGTGTACAATGATAATAATTGTCCACACTGCCACAATCATTTCTTGATGGTTTACAACATGAACTGAGCTGACCCATATTCGAATTGTCAGAGCGACAGAATGAACAAACCAACAAGAGTTGCAGTAACATTCAGTATGATGTCACATATAGAACTCGCAAATAGAAGCGGGCATTCTGTGGATTTTGGTTTCTATGGTAACCAATTCCATTGTGTCCCATTAGCCCCTTTCACCACGTTTAAGTGAAGTTTTTAAACTAATTTCGAGAGGAGCATGTGATATAATTGACTGCAGCTGGCCGCCTATCTACACTCATTAGTTAGCCAATCAGATCTATCCTAACTTAATATAAGTAGCCTAGCTAGATATTACTCCCTTATCTTCGTTTTCCGAAGAACAAGGACAAACCCCTCTCCTTACAATCCAAACCACCGACCACATTACAACAACAACGACGACAACAAGTACAACAACAACTACAACGACAACAACAGAAAGAATCCACAAACCCAACAGACCAATTCAACATCACAACCATAAAGCAACATGGAAGGAATCAACACACCCGCTCTCCCGGAAACACCAGCCCAAACACAGCAACAAGCTCAAATAAACACAGAGGCTCCCATCAGAGGCCGAAGACCCATCCGCTCCACAGTCACAAGGACCCATCGCAGCACGCAATCCCCATCTCCAAACTGCAACTTACCGTCTCCAGCTTCCTCCTATGCTTCAGCAAGATCCTTATTCAACACTTCCAATAAAATGACTGTTTCAGAACACCGCCAGTCACTCACAAACGCCAGAATTTCCATCCCCAGCCGCTGCAATAAATCCGAACTTCTGAAACTGTATGAAGCCATCCTGTCACCAACTCCGCCTCCTCAAGACAGTAGACCAACTCGCTCCTGCCACACCCCTTATCCTCAACCTTCCTTAACACAGCACACAAGAAACCCCCCCGGACCACCCAAGAAAGCAACCAAGAAAACTAATAAAAAGCAACCTCAAGCTACAGGACAGACCGCACCCTCTACCAACCAATATACAGTGAATCCACCAGACAATTATGCCACTCCAGGACTTCCCACCCCCTCCCTTGGCCTCCAGCCCCACACTCCAGCGAAAACTCCAGTCCGACTATTCCAGCAATTCCCCCGAATCTCAACCCTCCTCATTTCTCTCTCTCTTCTAATCTCACTCATTCTTCAACTCAATGTATTCCTACTCCTTCCCTTCCTACAAGCCCTAACGCTCTCCCTCTGCCTACTAATTTCCCCTCTACATCCCTCCACCAAGCACCCACTTCCATTACTAACCCTCCCCAACAAAATACCTTCTGTACTAACACTTCTTCCGCACGAGCCCCATTCACCCTAGCCACAGCCACACCCCTTCCCATTTCGCATAATGCTCCAGTCCTGGAACCACCTCAGATCTCCAAAGCCGTCAAGAATTTTATCCTATCAGAGATTCAGAAAACTAGCGCCGGAGGCAGAGCAGCATCCGACGCCCATCCCTCCTTATTCAGAGATGATAGTCCAATAAATCATCCTATGCATGATCTGCACCAAACATCCATATCTCTCATTCTGCAGGCTGTGGCTCCAAGAACCATACAAGCTTATCTCACTGCATGGAAAACATTCAAACACTTCCATTCCCTATACAACACTACATTCCCCAATTTCTCTCTAATTACAATTACATCACTTATCACTTACCTTTATTCTCACAAACATGTCCAGGCAAACTCTATTAAGAGCTATTTAAGTGTTATTCAGTTTTTTTACAAACTCATGTACGGCTTCATTTCTGAATCCATTACTAACTCACAAACTAACCTTCTTATTAAAGGCATTCAGAAGACCCCCCCTCCCAGACACAAGGTTACCCATCACACACAACATACTCGCTAAATGTATTTCCACACTCAGGAAAGGCTATTTTTCATTCCATACAAATCACACCCTAGATGCAATGTTTATTCTCGCCTTTTTTGGATTTCTAAGATGTTCTGAATTTACAGTTACATCTAATTTTGATCCACCCTACTATAGCAGATCTGACCTTGATTGATGAGGAAACAATGTCTTTCCTCATTAAGCAAAGTAAAACAGATCAATCCAGAAAGGGACATTGCATCTACATATTCAATATTCCCTCCCCCAAAAGCCCATTCCACACACTCCTAGTTTACATACACTACAGGAAATCACTAAGCGCAAGTCCCCTAGCCCCCCTTTTCATAGACGACACGCACCACCCAGTGACACGTTTTTGGTTCCAAAAACACCTAAAAAGATGTCCTAATCAATTCAGGCTTCCCACCAGAATCATACTCCAGTCAATCATTTAGAATTGGAGCCGCCACTACAGCAGCACACAAAGGGCTATCACAACAACACATACAAACACTAGGAAGGTGGTCTTCTGACGCCTTCAAATCCTACATCCGACTCAGCCACAGCCATCTCAGGGAAGCCCAGAGGACCCTCACCAGCAGACACAGTAATCCCAGTGGTCAAAGGCACGTGCTTAGTCCAAGGAAAGAACACGACCCAGCTATACCAGCTTCCAGAGGGCAGAGGAATTACCCAGTCTCTCAAGGGCACGGGCATGACCCAGCCATCTAACTTCTTTTCTTCCTGCCAGCTGATTTGTACTCAGCCTTCTCCCCCTTTTCACTCACCTAACTCCAGCAGGAGTTTTTTCCCTGCCCAGGCCCCCCTGTCACCCCAAATTGTTGCCGCAGGGGCGTTACCCCGAGCTTCGATTCCCACAGGAATCATCTCACTGCCCTGGCCTTAGCTTTTTATATTATGTCATTTCCATAATGACAAGTAGTATAGCACTATTTATTTTTCTCTCTGTTTGATTTTATTTATATAAATTTATATCTATATGTACCCATTTAAATATTCATTTATATATAGTGCTGTCACCCTGATGCTCTGTTCCTGCAGGAACACCCCCAGAGCACCTATATCGCCCGTCACCCTCCAGTAGGAGTCTTCACCTCCCCCTCATCTCTCCCGACTCCTACCGGAGCCAGCCAAAAAGCTCACCCAACCCCGAGCTGTGACACGAGTCACGTCACCAAACCTCCCCGGCCCTAGCTTATATTTGTTTATTTTTTGTTTATTTCTCTCACTTATCTTTTATTTTTTAAGTGATATATATATATATATATATATATATATATATATATATATATTAGGGATGTGCGGAGCAGCCGGTATTTGTATTTGTTGAGGGGTGAAAAGTATTTGTATTCGAGTAAAATTCAAAATGGCGCAAAAATATATATTTTTTTCTATTACACTTCTAATTTATGTTATAGTGAAAGTATTGTTTAATTATACCCATTATATAAATTATAGATATGCAATATTGGCTGTTGTTTTTGAACATGTGATAAGAAATGTCATTGAAATGAAAATAACATAGAAGCCATTATCTCATCAATGGTTAAACCAACAACTAATAAAATACCATTGTGAATATTATGAACCCCACCACCACTGTTCATGTTGAAGGACACTGAATAGACAGAATAAAAACAAATAATACTTCAAAAAACTGTTCTGCTTCTGAAAGAACTTCTTTCCAATGGACAGAATTCCAAAAACTAATATTAACTAAATAAATCTATATAAAACCCTGCCTGGGAGATCTGGCAGAACAAAAGTATTCTATATAATACTAAATGATACAGGCCTGCTATTGTCATCTGCCAGCCACAAAAAAGACTCAAAGTTTGTTTATTTGTTTGTTTGTTTGTTTTATGTTTGAAACTGACTTGCTGGGGCAGAATGTGGCTGTGTTGATGGTTTGGTGTTTGTGGAGGATTTAGCAGAACATAGCTGTGCTGATTGAGGGGATTGATGATTGTGGGGTGTTCACAGACAGTATCAGGAGAGGATGCTTTTAGTGCATGTGATAATACATTACATAGAAGGTTGCGCGGTGTCACAGTGAGTAGCACTGTCGCCTGACAGCAAGAAGGTTGCTGCTTCGAGCCCCGACTGGGTTCTCCCAATGTTGGCGTGGGTTTCCTTCGGGTGCTCCGGTTTCCACCACAGTCCAAACACATGCAATACAGGTGAATTGGGTAAGCTAAATTGTCCCTATTATATGTGTGTGAAAGAGAGTGTATGGATGTTTCCCAGTGCTGGGTAGCAGCTGGAAGGGCAGCCACTGCGTAAAACATATGCTGGATAAATTGGTGGTTCATTCCACTGTGGCAACCCCAGATTGATAAAGGGATTTAGCCGAAAAGAAATGAATGAATGATTATGGATAGAAGATGTTGACAGATGTTTAATATCTCTGCCTCTGCTGATTTCACTTTTGCACACATTTTACAGTATCACTTTGTTTTATCTGCAGCACCACTGACTGTAAAATGCTTCCACACAGAACCTGAAGGTTTTTTTTTTCTTTTGACTGGTGGAGGACCAAGAAATGGCTCAGCAGCACTCTCACTCTTTTTCTGGGTGCCCAAATGTATTTGAGGAGTTTCAAGTTAATAAAAAGTAAGGGGAAGCTATGTTAAGGTTAACTAGCCTATAGCATATATCTTGCTGTCTGCAAAAGACAGTTATTTAGACGTACCATATAACTCCCATAAGTGGATACTATTCGACACAACTGTAAAAGCATCGTTTTAACCTTTATAAACGAACGTTAACGTTACTCTGTCAACAGTCTATTGTCTAAATTACTAACAGAGCTAACATTGCGTAAACAGAGCACCCGGTTGCAGACGTCAATAATGCAGCGTAATAGAATATCCCGATCAAACTCCGCTTCAACTCCGCTACAAGTTTATAAACTGCCTTTGGAACCCAATTAAGGTACAAAAATCTATTTAACAAAAATAGTGATGCAGTGAAGTATTTTTTTCGCTCAGCCGAGCCTTCTGTCTGTTGCTGTGGAGAAGCTTGTGCCAGACACCTTTTATCTCCGCCCCGCCCTCCAACTACTGACTGAGGCCGTACTCACACTAGGTACAGTTGCCTCGAACCGGGCCAAAGCACGCTTTTCCCCCATCCCGTCTCCCTTGACGGCCCGCGCTCACACCATATCGGGTTATATCATCATATCATCGCTGCTGCTCTGTTCAGTGAGAAGCGCTCTCTATGGCAAGCCTTTTTAGCATTTAAATCTTTGTTCTGACTCCATAAATATATTAGAGATATCTCTAATTATATTTTGACTATTCATAATTATAATTCCACTACTCAGAATGACAATTAGACATATCTGCAATTACAATTGTACTAGTACGAAATCAGATGAATTTTGACTAGTAACAATTGTAATTGATATCTCTGAGTTTTTACTAGTCATAATACATTTAGAGATATCTTTAATTCATCATATTTAGAGATATTTACAAATATATTTGAAGATATCTCTAATTAATTTACTAAAAGTCTAATTACAGTTGTAGATATCTTGAATTGGATTTTTGACTAGTCAAAATTCATTTAGAGATATCTCTAATTACAATTGTGACTAGTCAACTTATTTAGAGATATCTGCAAATATTTTTCAATGGAAGTCAATGGAGGAATACGACTAGTCAGTCATAATATATTTGCAGATATTTCCAATCTGACTAGTCAAATTATAATTATGACAAGTCAAAATATAATTAGAGATATCTCTAAATATATTTATGGATAGTCTGAACAAGGTTTAAATGCTAAAACGGCTTGCCATACGCTCTCACCCAGTAGCACAGTGGAGAGTTCTCTAGTTATATCCTTTCAGTCGTTTGTTATGCAGTGACATGCAGTCAAATATTTAGCCAAACAGTCCTTAGGGATGCGGTGACACGCAGTCAGATATTTTACCGGACAGATCCACCACTTCTGGCGCTCATAAACAATCATAAAGCTCTCGTGCTGCAGGAATGAGGAGGTCTGCTGAAGGCGCGCAGCTGACGTGCAGTGAGAGGTTTGCGTCTTTAATGAACTACGGCAGTTTGCGATCACTGAACAGTAAGAATGATTAATAAATCCATATGAAACAACCCCTTAAAAGTCACGTCTCGGCTTTCAGTTTCGGGCTTTGGCGCGTTTTGCACTGATCGTCTCTCTCACTCTCTCTCTCTCTCTCTCTCTCTCTCTCTCTCTCTCTCTCTCTCACTCACTCACTCACTCACGCGGGCATGCACTGTGGTCTCATGAGGAAATGCTGCTTTTTGATATAGTGTTTTTCTTGCTCCCAAATACAAATAATTTTTCAAGTATTTGTTCGAATCAAGTATTCGTAAAAACACGCTATTTGTGCCTTTCCGAATACCGTATTCGGGTTCGGCTCCACCCTTAATATATATATATATATATATATATATATATATATATATATATATATATATATATACCCACGCATATAAATATACTTATATATAGTGCTGTCACCTTCAAGCTCTAACTCCAGCGGAGTTAATCCCGAGCATCGGACCCCCGCAGGGGTCATCGCCCAACTGCCATACACCCTCCAGTTGGGGCTTCACCAACCCTTCCTTTTCCCCACTCCAGCTGGAGATAGCACATACGGCTCTCTCTCCCGCAGGAGTGCCAAGAGCTTCGACTCTCGCAAGAGTCAATAAAAACGCCCCTCCAAGGCCCTAGGTTAACCCATTATATATTTATATATCTATATGTTTCATATAAATATATAATTATATATAGTGCTGCCGCCTCCCAGCTCTATCTTCGCAAGGAGTGTTCCTTGAGCAAATTACTCCTTCGGAGTCCCCGCCCCCCCCTGCCCCCCTTCACCCCCCTTTTCAGCCGGAGTCCTTCCTTCCTCTTCCCTTATAGTGACTCCAGCAGGATTCCCGTCCACCCCATGGCTCTGACCCCCGCAGGGGTCTCCCCGAGTCTCTACTCCCTTGGGAGTATTCACAGCCCACGTTAACTCTGCTCGGGTTCCCGCAGGAACTTGTTTCACCCTTTGCTCCAAAAGGAGCCCCTTTACATTTCCTTTTCAAATAAATATATCCAGCAGCCGGATATAGCATTTCAAGCCTTTTGGGGAGTTTCTTCTAATACACGGCTACTGTCCCGAGCGTCATGCATTGTGGGAGCTCTCGAGAACCACCTTATCAAGTACTCCCCTCACATGCTCTATGGACCTGGTGGAAGTCCTGGGCTTGACTTTCTCCGACCTCAGGGTTCTCTCCCGGGACAGCATGCCAAACCTGCTAACAGTTGTCAAGCAATATCTAAGTGTGAATTCTTAAAGTTAAGTTTTTAAACTAATTTCGAGAGGAGCACTTGATATAATTGACTGCAGCTGGCCACCTATCTACACTCATTAGTTAGCCAATCAGATCTATCCTAACTTACTATAAGTAGCCTAGCTAGATATTACTCCCTTATCTTCGTTTACCGAAGAAACCCCCCATCCACCCCCTTTCTCCTCCTTTCCTCTTTTACAAAAAGGGGAGCTCTCGAGAACCACCTGATCTCGTACTCCCCTCACATGCTCTATGGACCTGGCGGGAGCCCTGGTCTCAACTATCTCCGAGCTCAGTGTTCTCTCCCGGGACAGCATGCCAAACCTGCTAACAGTTGTCAAGCAATATCTAAGTGTGAACTCTTGAAATGTCATTAATTTCTCAGTTTTTACTTGGTTTACTGTTGACATAAAAATAAATTAATTTATATTAATAGTAGTTATTTTTATAAACACTTTTAAAAATATGTATTATTGCTTAGAATATGAGAGGACTGATTAAGGCTTAATAACTTGGTTAAATTTAAACTATGGCTAGTATACAACTATTTAAGTGCAGTAACAGTATTGTTTTGTTTGTTTTATACATTATATTTAATGTTTTAGAAAGTGTAATGTGCAATATTTTTGTTTTCTGGAGTAAAAATTGTTAGTTTTTACTAGGGGTGTAACAATACACTCAGCTCACGATATAATGTGTATCACAATATAATGTTCACGATATAATGTTCGATATTTATCACGATATTTGGAATAAAAATTGAAAATTAAACTGAAATGCAAATTTTATTTTTTTAAAAATTCAATTACCAAGTAAACTATTTTTTATGTATTTCTTTTGTTTCAGCTTGTTAAACTGAAC